AAAGTTTGTATCATAAATGGATGCTGTACTTTGTAAAATGCTTTTTCTGCATCTACTGAAATGATCATATGGTTCTTATTATTTCCATTGCTTATGTGATACATCATGTTGTTTTATTTGTGAATATTAAACCACCTTGCATTCCAGGAATAAAGCCCACTTGATTATAGTGAATGATTTTTTTAATGTATTATTAGATTCAGTTGTCTAGTATTTTGTTGAGGACTTTTGCATCTATTCCATCAGAGATATTGGCCCGTAGTTCCCTTTTGGTGGTGTTTTTATGTAGTTTTAGTGTCAGGTTAACGTGGCCTCATAGAATAAATTTGAAAATTTTCCTTCCTCTTCTATTTTTTGGAATAGTTTGAGAACAGATATTAACTCTTGATGGAATTCACCAGTGAAGCCATCTGGTCCTGGACTTTTGTTTGTTGGGAGTTTTTTGATTACTGATTCAATTTCATTGCTGGTTATCAGTCTATTCAAGTTTTATATATATATTTTTTCCTATTTTAGTTTTGGTAACATATGTTTCTAGGAATTTACCCATTTCTTCTAGGTATCCAATTTGTTAGCATATAATTTTTCATAATATTCTCTTACAACTGTTTGCATTTCTGTGGTGTTGTTTTTGATTTCTCCTCTTTCATTTGTGATTTCATTTATTTGAATCCTCTCATTCTCCCTGTTTCTCTCTGTCTCTCTCTTTCTAATGAGTCTGGCTAGAGGTTTATCAATTTTGTTGATCTTTTCAAAGAACTAGCTCCTGGTTTCATTGATCTGTTCTATTGTTTTTTAGTTTCTATATCATTTATTTCCACTCTAATCTTTACTATTTCCTTGCTTCTGCTAGTTCAGTATTTTGTTTGCTTTTTTCTTTCTCGCTTCTTCAGGTGTAAGGCTAGGGTTCTTATTTGAGATTTTTCTTGCTTATTGAGGTAAGCCTGTGTTACTATAAACTTCCCTCTTAAAATAGCTTTTACTGTACCCAAAGATTTTGGACTGTTGTGTTCTCATTTTCATATGGCTGCATGTATTTTTTTTATTTCCTCTTCAATTTCATGATTGACCACTTATTATTTATTAACATGTTATTTAACCTCCATATATTTGTGTTCTTTCCAGATTTTTTTCCAGTGCTTGATTTCTAGTTTCATAGTGTTATGGTCAGAAAAGGTACATGATATGATTTCAATCTTTTTGAATTTGTTGAGATTAGTTTTGTGACCTAATATGTGATGTATCCTAGAAAATGTTCCATGTTCACTTGAAAAGAATGATATTTGACTATTTTAGGATGGAATGTTCTGAATATATCTGTTAGATACATCTGGTCCAATGTGTTATTTAAGTCCCCATTGACTTATTGATTTTCTGTTTGGATGGTCTATTCATTGATGAAAATAGAGTTAAAGTCCACTACCATTACTGTATTACTACCAGTTACTTCCTTTATGTTTGCTAATAGCTGCTTTATGTATTTTGGTATTCTCATCTTGGGTGCATAAATATTTACAATTGTTATAATTTCTTGTTGGATTGTACCCTTTATGATTATATAATGTCCTTCTTTTCCTCTCGTTACAATATTTGTTTTGAAGTCTATTTTGTCTTACATAAGTATTGCACCTCTGGATTTTTTTCACTTCCATTTGCATGATAAATATCTTAATATCTCTTCACTTTCAATCTGCATGTGTCTTTAGGTCTGAAATTACTCTCTTGTAGGCAGCATATAGATAGGTCTTGCTTTTGTATCCACTCTGTCACCCTAGTCTTTTGATTGGAGAGTTTAATCCATTTATATTCAAGGTAATTATTGACAGCTATGTATTTATTGCTATTTTATTTTTTTTAATATTTTTTTCTTTATTTATTTATGATAGTCACACAGGGAGAGAGAGAGGCAGAGACACAGGCAGAGGGAGAAGCAGGTTCCATGCACTGGGAGCCTGACATGGGATTCGATCCCGGGTCTCCAGGATCGCGCCCCGGGCCAAAGGCAGGCGCCAAACCGCTGCGCCACCCAGGGATCCCTTTGTTGCTATTTTATAACTTGTTTTATGGTTGTGTTTGTAGTTCTCTGTTCCTTTCTCCTTTTGCTTTCTTCTCTCATGTTTTGCTGGCTTTCTTTAGTGATATAGGTGTATAACATCTTAGGCATATAATAGTCTATTTTGCATTGATGGTCACTTAAGTTCGAACACATTCTAAAGGCACTGAAGTTTAACCGTTCTCTCCTCCTTCCCATGTTTTAAGTATATAATATCATACCTTATGTCTTTTTATTTTGTGACTCCTTTGACTAATTTTTATAGATATTGCTGCTTTTGTACTTCCAATTTTTCTTACTCCTACTTATGGTCTTTCCTTTCCACTCAAAGAATCCCCTTTAACATTTCTTGTAAGTCTGGTTTAGCAGTGATGAATTCCTTTAACTTTTGTTTGGGAAACTTTATCTCTCTTTCCATTCTGATTGATGGTCTTGTTGGAGACAGTATTCTTGCCGCAGGCTTTTTCTTTTCAGCACTTTGAATATATCATGTCAACCTATTTGGATTACAGAGGTTTTGGCTGAATAATTAACTGAGAGCCTCATGGGATTTTCCTTGCATGTAACTGTTTTCTCTTGCTACTTTAAAAATTCTTTTTATCACTACTTTTTTTTTTTTTGCCATTTTGATTGCTGTGTGTCTTGGTGTGGACTTTCTTGGGTTGATTTTGTTGGAAGCTCTCTATGCATATTGGTTCTAGATTTCTGTTTCCTTCCCTAGATTCAGGAAGTTTTCAGTTATTATTTATTCAAATAAAATTCTGCCTTCTTTTCTCTCTCTTCTTCTTCTGGTATCTTTATAATGCAAATGTTACTATGCTTGATGGTGTCACTGAGTTCCCTTAATCTAGTCTTTTTCATTAATCTTTTTCCCTTCTCCTGTTCAGCCTGATTGCTTTCTATTATTCTGCCATCTAGGTCATTGATCCATTCTACTTCATCTTGTCTACTATTTAATATTTCTAAGTGTATTTTTATTTCAGTTACTGAGTTCTTCATCTCTTATTGGCTCTTCTTTACATATTCTGTCTCTTTGTTGAGGATATTACTGAGGTCTCCACTCTTTTCTCAATTCCAGGGAATACCTTTATGACCATGACTTTGAATTCTGTAGCAGACATATTACTTATCTGTGTTTTGTTTGGCTCTCTTGCTGTGATTTTGTCCTGTCCTTTCATTTGGAACATATTCCTCTATCTCTTCATTCTGTCTAACTCTCTGTGTCTGTTTCTATGTGTTAAGAAAGTCAGCTACATCTCCTGTTCTTGAAAGTAGTGGTTTTATGAAAAAGAGGTCTTGAACAAGGAGTGGTGGAAAGGGAGGTAGGGGGTGGGGGTGACGGGCACTGAGGGGGCTGAGCACTGGGTGTTATGCTATATGTTGGCAAATTGAACTCCAATTAAAAAAAAAGAGGCCTTGTAGTGCCCTGTGGTGCAATGTTCCCTACTCACCAGAACCTATTTGTTGTGTGCACCCTACTGTTGTGGCTGAGCTGCATTTGCTTTTAGTCCAGTCATCTGCAATGACTCTCTTTGCCTGTAGTGACCACGGTTTGGTCCCTGTGTTGTTAGTGGCCTAGTCTTAGGCCACCTTGAGCATGAGTTCAGTCAGACTAGGCCTTTGACAGAGGTGTGGTCCCATCAAAGTTCAGGGTACTCTCCCTGTGCTGTCCCATCAGAAAATCTGTTGGTGGGCAGGACCTGAGGTCAGACCATATATATGTCCTCAGACCACTCCTGAGACTATAGTCAAACTGGTGTGGTTATCTTCCTTTCTTCCTAAGATAGGGGTCACTTTGTGGTGATACTAGCCCCTGTTAGGGCTGCTTGCATATTGCACACTTGTCCATCCACTTTGGATGGACTCCTGTAGAGGGCAAGTTGGAGAGATTGAGTCCACAGAAGAGCAAGGGGGAGGGCAAGAGGTAATAGAAAGTTTTGCACAAGTCTGCTATGGGAGGAGACCTCCGTGCTGCTTTGGAGAGCTACAGAGGCTAAGTTGGAGGAAGTGAGTCTCCAGAAGAGCACGGACTCAGGACATGTTGTGAACAAGCCAGTTGAGAATATTCATGCTGCGCTGTTTCCCATGGGTGTCCATGTGACCAGTCTGGGTGGTAGAAGAAGGGAATGGCATGTGCCAGCTCCTTTGTTCTTGGGAAAGATCCCTGCCCCTCCTGCATATGCTCTGAAATTAGTAAATCAATCTCTTTCCCATATACTGCAGGCATTTTTCAAACTGCTACTTCCAGGCTATATCTCAGAGGGACTGTTAGTTATGCTTTCTCTTTAAAGGTGGGGACTCAGTTTCCTATCATCCTTTAGCTCTCCCAGAGCCAATCATCTAATTTTTAAAGTTCCAGGTGTTAAGCCCTGCTGACTGTAAAATTTAATGATGTTAAGCCCCTCTGGTTCTCAAAGTCAAATATTATGGGTATTTGTCTTCCCTGAATGGGTTCTCCTTGCCTCCAGTGCCTGGTATGGGGTCTATTCCTCTCCTTTCTCTGTGCTTACAGAGTCCCTCCCTCCTGGGGACAGTACTATGGGTGGGCTTATTTCCCAACTGAGTCTCTGTCTTTCCTATCATTTTTTATGTGGTCTCTTCTTTATGTTCAGTTGTAGAGAGTCTGTTCTTCCAGTCTTCAGGTCATTTTTCGGTTATTTACACTAATGTTGGTATTATGTAGATTTATCCATGGAATAAGGTGAGTTTAGGATCCTCCTACTCCACCATCTTCCCTAGAAGTCCCCAAGATACTTTTAAAACTATGTAGCAACAACAACAAAATGTTTACATAAAAATCAGTTCTAAACTATCACTATTTTTATGTTTTCTATTTTTATATGTAAAATATTGTATATGTTCTGTATAGTTCAGGCATTGAATATAGACATTTTTGTATCATATTCTATCTGTAAAAATATTATTTTCTTTAATCATCTGTCAACAGGAATTTAGGGTGTTTCCCTGCATTGGTTATTGTGACTATGCTGCAATGAACATGTGCAGATATCTCTTCAAGGTAATGATTTTGTTTTCTTGGATATATAACCAGAAGTGGGATTGCTGGATCATATGGTAGTTCCATTTTTAATTTCTCAAGCAACCTCCATATTGTTTTCCATTGTGACTGAATTAATTTTACATTTCTACCAATGTTGCACAAGGATTCCAACATGGGATAATTTGAGCAGCAAAAAAGAGGGATCAGGGCACCTGGATGGCTCAGATGGTTAAGCATCTGCCTTCAGCTCAGGCCATGATCTTGGATCTTAGGATCAAGCCCCACATTGGTGGAGGCAGGGGGCGGGGAGGAGGTCCCATCTCACCAGGGAGTCTGCTTCTCTCTCTGCCTCTCCCTCCTGCTCATTCTCTCTCTCTCTCTTTCTCTCTCAAATGAATAAATAAAATCATTAAGAACTTTTTAAAAAGGGGATAAAAATACATATATGCTAAAATATGTGGGTTCACAATGAGAACCCCCCAAAAAACTCTTTGGTCATTTTTGGAGGAAGCTAGAGAACCAACTCATTACCATGTGCAGAAAACGGGTAAATAAAAGGAAAGAATAAAGCATATATCTTGCCTTTCCTTTAAAATTGTGCCTCAAGGTAGCCAAATAGTTAATGAGGAATGGTCTCCTTTATTGGAGAATTTCAGCTAATGAATGTAGAGGAAATAATAGAATTAGACTATCACTTGCAGCCTATAATAAAACAATGCTTCTAGCCAATTATCAGCAAGAGTTGCTAAAATCAGTGACTGAAGGCCTAACAGAGAACTGAGAATTGGGCAATGTGGCTGACAAAATCTGACCTCCCTGATCAATCTTAACACCACAAAAGAAATTCAGCCAGATGTTGTGATGCAATAGGAAATAAACAGTATCACATGCAAAGGATTCTTACCTGAATGGAATCAAGCCTCTGGACCAAACAACCAGTAGAGAGGTAATAAAAGTGAGAAGGGAACACATTAAATGATCCAACATGTATGCCATCAGCAAAATATGGGATGTGGGGAATTCTATACAATAAATAATCTAATTTCTTTAATAAGCTAATGTAAGAAAAAGGAGGGAAAACTATATATTAAAAGAATCATGAGTGATGGAGAAACAAATATAATCTTGTTTAGATTGATTCAAACAAGCCAATTAAAAATATTTTTTTCTAGACAATTGGAAAATGTGAACACTGGATTGTTTAATTATATTAAGAAATTACTGTAAATTTTCTTTTTTAGTTAGGACAACAATTTTGTAGCTATGTTGCATAAAGTCCTTATCTTTTATGAATATAACACTAAAACGGCAGCCCGGTTGGCTCCGCGGTTTAGTGCTGCCTTCAGCCCAGGGCATGATCCTGGAGACCGAAGATCGAGTCCCACGCCGGGCTCCCTGCGTGGAGCCTGTTTCTCCTTCTGCCTGTGGTCTGCCTCTCTCTCTCTGCATCTCTCATGAATAAATAAATAAAATCTTTTAAAAATATAACACTAAAACATACTACATATAAAATTGTGTAATGCTGGGCAGCCCGGGTGGCTCAGGGGTTTGGCGCTGCCTTCAGCCCAGGGCATGATCCTGGAGACCGGGGATTGGGTACCACGTCAGGCTCCCTGCGTGGGGCCTGCTTCTCCCTCTGCCTGTGTCTATGCCTCTCTCTCTCTTTGTGTGTGTGTCTCTCATGAACGAATGAATAGAATCTTTAAAAAAAAATTGTGTAATGTCTAGGATTTGTTTTTAACAATTTAGTATGGAAGGAAGAAGGAGGAATGTAGAAGAAATAAGATAGATCATGTGTTGATAGTTACTGAAATTTTATATACATATAAAAGTTTTCATAACAAAGTTTAAAACATAAATACAAAAATATCCATCTAATATTGATATAATCCGAATGTTTTATTAAAATATTTTAGGAATGGAGTAAAGGAGAAAAGTAAATGCGTTGTTAAATGCCAACTCTTGGGGTGCCTGGCTCACTCAGTCAGTAGAGCATATGACTCTTGATCTCAGGATTGTGAGTTCAAGCTGCCCCATTTTGGGTATAGAGATTACTTAAAAATAAACAAAAGAATGTAAATGCTAACTCTTTACCTTTCAGACTAGGATACCAACATAAAACATCTAAAATTGATAAATCAAGAACATCCAGAAAAATAATATTTTTTAAAGATTTTACTTATTTATTCATAGAGATGGAGAGAGAGAGAGAGAGAGAGAGAGAGAGAGAGAGAGAGAGAGAGAGAGAGATGCAGAGACACAGGCAGAGGGAGAAGCAGGCTCCACGCAGGGAGCCTGACGTGGGACTCGATCCAGGGTCTCCAGATCAGGCCCTGGGCTGCAGGCGGCGCTAAACCGCTGCGCAACCGGGGCTGCCCAAAAATAATAATTTTTTAAAGATTTTATTTACTTATTTGAGACAGAGAGAAAAACACAATTGGAGGTGAGAGAGAAGGGGAAGAAAGAGAGAGAGAAGCAGATTCTCTGCTGAGCTGGGAGCCTGATGTGGGGCTCAATCCCTGGACCTTGAGATCATGACCTGAACCAAAGACAGACCCTTAACCGACTGAGCCACCCAGGCACCCTGAGAAACAATTATTTTTGAAATATGGAGAAAACAGCTAAAATTGATTACTTAATGAAGAGCAAAATTCAAAAAGAAGGCAGAAGGAAAACAGAGATGACTGCTGTTTTAATTATTAGACTTGGGATAGCATTTTAATTTTTTAAAATTGTAAACACACGCAAACTCGATAAAAATAGAAATTATTTTCTGAAAGATATATAAAATATCTTTTCCTTTTAAAAATTTTATCATAAAAAATAAAATAAAAAAATAAAAATTTGATCAGAAGAAGCCCATTAATGTGTATTATTAACCATATCCTAACTGGGCTCTCATTTTTATGCTCTGTATCCTACTCACTTGTTCCCTGTACCTAATCTACTGCCAAATCATGTAAGGATCCAGAATATGATTTGAACTCATCTACTTTTCTAACTTCTCTGCCATCACCTTATGTGTGGCATCACTGTTTCACATCTGGACACTGCCATAGTCTACTACCAAATTTCCTGTTTTTACTCTTGCTCCCCTCTGATCCAGTCCATGCATACTAGTCAGACTGATGTTTTCTTACTTACTTATTTTTATTGTTTTTTTTTCATTTGATTGTAGTTGACATGCAATGTTGTATTAGTTTCAGGTATGCATTTTCAGATTGATGTCTTCAAGTTGCAAACCTGACCATGTCACACCCCTGCTGAGATCCCTTCAATAGCTTCATACTATCCTCTGAATAAATCCAAGATTTTTAACATGACCTCTGAGTCCTGCACTCTCAGACTGCTGCTTATGCTGCTTATGTCTCCAGCAGCATCTTTACAGCACTTTCTCCTACATTCACCTGAATTTCCATATGCTGTTTCTCAGATCTTTTTTTAAATATATTTTTTTAAATTTTTATTTATTTATGATAGTCACACACACACACACACACAGAGAGAGAGAGAGAGAGAGAGAGAGAGAGAGAGAGGCAGAGACGCAGGCAGAGGGAGAAGCAGGCTCCATGCACCGGGAGCCCGACGTGGGATTCGATCCGGGGTCTCCAGGATCACGCCCTGGGCCAAAGGCAGGCGCCAAACCGCTGCGCCACCCAGGGATCCCTGTTTCTCAGATCTTAAACATATCCCCATCACTCTTTCCTTGGTCATCCCTAATGGTTTAAGATTCAACTTAAATATCACTACTTTTCTTTCTCTTACCACCATATTCATGTTCTCCACAGCACTTGCCACTTGTAATTGCATATATACTTAACTTGCTTTGACTTTGTTTCCTCCACCAGCTCTAAGCTCCATGAGAGCAAGGATTTTGTTTTGCTCATTGTTGTATCTCTAGTACCTAGAACATTCCCTGTCATAGAGTGGGTCCTTAATATTTATTGAATCAGTGAATAAATGGAATGTACAGTAGACCAGATTTTCTCAAGCTTTAATGTGCATACAATCACTGAGGGGAGATCCTTTTTTAAAGGCACATTCTGATTCAGTAGCTCTGGGGTGGGGACTGAAATTCTAACAGGCTTCCTGTGAGACAAAAGCTGCCAGGGCCTTAAATACACTTTGACTAGAAAGGCTAAAGCAGGTACAAAGATGAGTGATAGTAATGTTGGTCCTGTAGTTTATGATCTGGTAATGGACTTGCCTCATAAACACAATCTAAATCATCACCTATCACCTTCACTTTCATTGATGTATAAAGCATAAAAGGCTTAAGGCTGTTTGAGATTGGGATGGATGTTGACTTTACCAAACATTATACAAGACCCCCTAAGGCCATATCTGACTGTGACCAAATCATTTAAAGTGTTATAATAAGTTGCAAAATTTAAAGGAAGTAATCGGCAATTCAGTATATGAGAACAGAGATCCTTTTTAACAAAGAAATAAATATCGTGGAACAGAGGGATGAGAATTTGAATTTTTTCAAATTTTTTTGCCCGAGTTTGTGTGTAATTTGTTTGCCCGAGTAGGTGTGTAATTTTAGCAGCCACTTAAATTCTCTGAATTTTCGTATCAGCAGATGATGATGAAAACTTAGAGGCATGATAAGTGAGGTATCACATATCAATTAAATACTGTGCCTGGCATAAGGTAGCCCTTAAAAAAAAAATCAAGTTCTTCTGTTACTTTCTTAGGTAGAACATTTTCCTTATAACATCAATTTCCCAGAGGACAAGTGAGTATCATTTTTTGAATGAGATCCTTAACATCTCACAGGGGAAAAAAAAAAACAAATAATACTAGGAAAATAAAATAAATATGTAGGTTAACAGCAGGTATTTTGGTTTAAATGAACACTAGGCTGTAAATCAGAAAAACTAAGCTTTGGTTCAAGATTTCAACATGAACTAGAGGTATAATGTTGAACAAGTTATTTAATATCTCTGGGCCTCTGTATCCTTTCTAAATCATTGTACATAGTTAAATACATTAATTATCTTATAGGAAACCATCATTCTTCCAAATCATTTGATTTTTATTTTTTTTTCCTTTTGGGATAGCAGTAAATTTTACAGAAATATTAAAATTGGATAATTTTAATCATTGGATAATTAGAAAAAGGATTGGAAAAAAAAGGTTTTTGTTCTTTCTTTCTGAAATTTTTACTAAACACCCTCCAGCCATATTACTAAGCTTTAAATAAGTATATGGACTCAGTGAACTTAATCTTTTTACTTGGAGAACTTCTATCTTTTTAAAATTACATAAATATACATGCTTTCACTAGCAGTTGGAATTGGAATTTGTTTTACTTGCTATATATGATATTAAATTGTCATAGCTTGGAATATTAATTTAAATATAACTTGGAAATATAAGAAAAAAGAACAATGTGGAGAAAATAAAAAGTAACAAGTTAAATCTATTCTTTCAAAGATAATTGCAATGTTTTTATGCAATAACAGAAAAAATTAGCAAAATATTTTAACTACATAGATACGTGTCACTACTTAAATGTTGACAAATGAATTTGGGGATTGAAAATTATTTTTTTGCTGCCTTTAATCTTCCACCTCCCACTTCATTATAAAGAGCTTCTCATTTCTCTTTTTTTTAGTGTGCTTTTTATCCACTCTACCCTCATACTTTAAACTACTACTAAATGTTCATGGAATTAAGTCTTTGGGGTCATTTGGCTTTAGCTTCCTCATTAGGTTCCTCAGTGTCCTCAGCTTCATTCTCTACATATAAACACATTTGTTATTCTTAATCACTTCCTTTTATCAATCCCTGACTGGAGCATACTGATTAATCTTTGAAAAACCACACTTGTATTTTATAAAAATGGAAAATTCAAACTTCTGCTGTGTGTGACACATCATTAACTGCACAAAGACACTCTGTATCTGCTATGTTAGTATTTACTGATGGGTTAATGTAATTATGACCCATCTGCTTCTGCTGTCTAATGAGGCACTTTCTATCTACAGGGATAGAAATTTATGACAGTCTCTTTGAACTGCCTGATGTCAGAGCTGGGAAAGGTGGTGAAGTATATATAAGAGCTGGGTTACTCATTGGCAAGTGGGGGACAAATACTCCAGTGGATGAAAGCTTGGGATTGTTCCTGAAGCTTTCTTACCATTAGAGGCATTCTCTGATATACTGACACTCAAACATTAAAAGGTAAAGAGTTTTTTGTTTATGGGAAAATATTATTTGTTTAAGGAAGAGCAGATTTGGGATTAAATATATTGCTTGTTTCAAAGAAAAAGATAAAGGGGTAATGTGCTATAATATCAACTTTCCAGATTGTTCAGAGATGGAAATTCAGAAGGGGAAAGTTTTGAAAATATTCAAAAATTGTTTGAACATTATCAAGGGACTATATCAGTGTAATCTTTGGAGATTATGTTTAAAATGAGATTTTTTTACAGTAAGTTCTAGTCTCAAATTCCATCAATCAGAGCTATAAAAAATTTCTTGATTTCAATGCTGCATTATTCTTTTCCAGTAAATTTGAGAAACAATGTGCCTCCTGAAGCTGCCAGTAGTTCTCATCATACTCTCGGTTGCATTAAACCATCTGAAGGCTACTCCCATTAAAAGGTTAGTATTTTAAAAATCCTGTTTCTTTGTAAAATGTGGGAAAATTAGAATTAAAAACTGTTATATAACTAACAGCCCTTATGCCATTAGATGTATCTTTCTGACAGAACTTCTGACAGACAGGAATGGATAGTTACAGTTTTGTCAAGAAATATGTTATTGAAACCTAGAGGGGCAAAACCAAATCAGGAAGTAGGAAAAGCCAAAGGGTAGTAATTTCCACTATATTAACCTGGTTCTCAAATAAACTAGAGAAGCTTGAAACATGTATTTTATATTAGGTGGGATTTTACTGCATATTTACATAGATTTTTTTTCCTCAGAGGGCTCTGGCAATGTCCAAAACTTTTCATCTCCTTCTGGAAAGAAATACATAGAAATAATCAGGGGGCAAATTAAAATGTTAAGAACTAGTTAAAAAGCCATTTGCTCTTAGGGGATTCTTTCTATATTGTTAACTCATATTAATGAAATAGAATTATAAAAATATGTTATTCATCAGATTAATTCTGAGCTCCTATAAATGTAAATTAATACTCTTAAAAATGTTTTCAATAGGTAATATGTGCATCAGGATTTCCTAAGAAGACTTATTTTGGAAGGTGTCATGCCGTTTAAGTGGTAATTTTAAGGAAGTCTAAAAACTCTGTAAGGTGAAATGTTAGCAGTAATTATAACTTTCAGGGGGAAAGAACTGTAATTCTCCCTTTATTTAAAAGATTCTCAAGGCCAATCCATACATATATCATAAACAATACAATGATAATTTGTGCCTAAATCAGTTGGCTCCTTATAGTTTTGTAGAACTGAAACTACACACTCTTTAAGACCAAGGAGTATTAAGATTACCTTTTTTTTTATGATAGTCACAGAGAGAGAGAGAGGCAGAGACACAGGCAGAGGGAGAAGCAGGCTCCATGCACCGGGAGCCCGACGTGGGATTCGATCCCCGGTCTCCAGGATCGCGCCCTGGGCCAAAGGCAGGCGCCAAACCGCTGCGCCACCCAGGGATCCCTAAGATTACTTTTGAAAAGTTTGCTTTGGAAGTAATATTAAAACTTTTCTCATAGAATTATTAGCATCTTGTCTATTTTCCTTTGGGTTGTTTTTTGTTGAGGTGGCAATCTGTGGTGATATGTAGAGTTCTACAGCACCCACATGTAGTAAATAGTAGGAATCATCAGATTTCCTTTGTCCCTTCAGGTTTACTGAGTTTAGAGGATGTTCTTCTCAGAATTGGCTCTGATTTTCAATTGGATTTTTGGATAAAAATAACTGAAACTGACATGATGTTTCTGGTAAACCAGTAGAACAATAGAATAACAGGAAAATTAGCAGTATTACACAGTATTTCTGTTCATATCTTGATCTTTTCTTTCACTAGATAAGCACCTTTATCCAGTTTGTCATTATGGATATGAGTTTATTATGAAGTGAACTTCACTCGCAAATAAAATACTATATAACATTATTTATTACCAAGTTATTTTCATGCTAGCCTCACAATCTCTTAATTTGAATTTTTATTAGAAATACTTCCAAGGCATTCTTCAGATTGCTCTTTAATGAGTTTCCAGAAATCAGGATGTCTGGTCATTTTTTTTAAAGGGGAAGAATTTATCATCCTGAGCTCTTCATCCATGTAATAGTCTATAAATTTCATAAAATACTAAGAAAGCCTGTGTAGAAAATGACTCAAATCTCATACAACTTTAAAAGACAAAGCTGATGTAAATTTATCAATGTCATTTTTCTTATAAAATTTAATAGTCTCATTTGATATCTTTTTTAACTTTTGTACATGTATGACATGAGATTAAGAGGAAACAAACTGATTAAATAAGCCATACCAAAAGATATTTTATACTCTTGACTGAGTGAGGGAAAAGGATCACACACTTGCCCACCAACTTTTAAACACTCAGTTATAAGTACCTGCATAGCAGATAATCAGAGGTTAGCCAACAGTATAATTACTTCTACAAATTGAGAACTGGAGCAGGGATAGTTTAAAATGGTTTTGAAAATCTTTGAGGGGTACTTGGGTGTTTCAGGCAGTTAAGCATCCAACTCTTGGTTTCTTCAGCCCAGGTCATGATCTCAGTGTCATGAGATCAAGCCCCTCAATGGGCTCGGTGCTCAGTGCAGAGTCTGCTTAAGATTCTCTCTCCCTCTCCCTCTGCCCCTTCTACTCATTTTCTCTCTCTCTTTCTCTCTGTCTAAAACGAATCTTTGAAGACTCTTGAAACTGAGGGGTTTGTAAAGAGAAACAACATAAGAGTGATACTTCAGTCTGTAGTCATCACTGTATAAATTCTTAAAGTTAGGAATTTGCACAGTGTGTAAATGGTCAATAGGTTTGAACTAGTGTCTGTTACTAGATACTAGGCAGGCCTAGTCTGCCCAAGGAGTTAAAGAGAAAAAAATGCCTGAAAGTAGGGGTGTGTTGCCTTTTTTTCTAACCATTTCATCCATCTTTTTCTATCTTAATGGTAGTTTGGGGTAGAATCTTATACATACTGATGCTATATTTACATGAAAAGTCTTGTTTGGAAAAGCAGCTTTGTAATAATGAAACAAATCAACATAAAAGGTCTTATTATTTCTTTAAAGTAGAATGGTGGCTCTTATAGCGAATTCAAATAAGGTAAAATTTTAGTTGGAGTAATTTTAAGTCTGTTACAGACCTTAAGACCAATCATCAAAGTACCACTCAGACATTTAGCACATAGATTAGTTTACACTCTGCTCCAGGCATTTGCCAAACATTTTAGGACACATATCACTTTGAACCTTTCCAGTTTGACCCATTATTTCCTTTATTGCTTTAAATTTATTAGTTTGAAGTATTTGATCAAAATACAATTCCTGCTTTTTTCAAGACAATTTTCTTCTCTTTTAGAATTAAACATCTGATGTTATGAATTATTGGTTTAATTCTTAAAAAGCATTAAATCATTCATTGGAAATGCACATTGGCCATGCTTACTTCACATGCAAATTGAAATAATTAAATAGATAATATGACTAACATTAACATATAGACTAGGTATTTAAGTCCCAAAGTGGGTTTCCTTTGCCTAAATAATAGATTTGTCAGCATACACTTATACTCAACAGATACCTGACATTTCTCCCTTAATAGCCTTATTTAATGATCTCAGGGAACTTAACAAAAATATCTTATACTGCTTAATTTTCTTTGGAAAGATGTGGGAAATGAATATACATATTTAGTACCACATACTCCAGATTACATATAAATTTTATATTCCAAATCCTTTTTATGTATTAGGAACTAGATTCACCAAGATTTAGAAGAATAAAAAAAAAGGGTTTAGAGGACTGTAAGACAAAGATACCTCTTTTTATTATTATTACTATCTGGAATATATTCTGAAATTTCAAAGGATTATATTGAGAAATTTAACACTGACTATAGTGGAAGTTTTGTTATATGATTTCCTTGTCAAAAATTGCTTCTGCTGCATGTTCAAGGTCTCAAAAAATTTCAGTCATCTAGATGTTTCCAAAACAAAATGTTGAGTTACTTACATGAAAATATTTTCATCAATATGAGCTATTTGTTGTCCTATAAATATACCCAAACCTGAGTCTAAGTCTCTAACCTTCCATATGTGTTCTATATTGTCAGTCACCAGATGGAAAAGCGGAAATGCAACACTGCCACGTGTGCGACTCAACGCCTGGCAAATTTCTTGGTTCGTACTAGCAATAATCTTGGTGCCATTCTCTCACCTACCAATGTGGGATCCAATACATATGGCAAGAGAAACACAATTGAGATTTTAAACAGGGGACCATTGAATTACTTACCACTTTAGAGGTCAACGCACCCCTATCATTCTTACTTTCATGTATAAAAATATTCTAGTGATTTCCTGTGTAAGTTAACATTAGCATGAACATAAGTTTTAATGTACTATGTTTGTTAGCAGTACATATAAATTGTTATGGTAAGAATTGTTTTAAATTTATTGCTAATTAAGACCCCATAATAAAAAGTCAATGTCTTTAAAAATGAAATGTTCTTGCTATAGATATTTATTTTGAAGACATATTAAAAAGTCATTCTTTTGCCTATATCTTTATGATCTGAGTTTGAGAACAAAAGAGAAAATAGTATTTGGAAACTTGGTAAATTGTAAACAGCAGAGAGTGAAGTTAGGCACATTAAAAGTCAACAATTATAAGGACCCTTGTTAAGCAATTCTTTTTTGCATTGGATTTCTCAAATGTTTAGATAAAATGCTATTTAAAAAATAATTAATTTTTGCTCCTGACTCAGTCAAAATATTTTTTAAATTATATTCTTTGCTGTATTGTTGGTATTAGAGGTTATTTAAGAATATAAAGGCAATTTGTGTTTATGAGGGTTTCATTGTGTGTTGTCATTTGATGACCTTTTATTAAACATAAATGCCCTTTTTTCTGTTCAAGTGGCTTACAGCAAACCTCGGTCATACTCTGATGCAGGATATTGCAAAGGCAACTTGTGTTCCTCTTAATCATGTATGTCTTCAGTTAAAAGACCACAGAGTTATATATTTTATGGTAACTTATTTTGTTTGTTAAACTAATTGGACATTTCTGGCAGAGGTTACATGTGTGTGATACACTTTTCTTGAAGAAAACTGTTGAATTGGACATGAAATGTAATGTTTCCTCTAATTCTCATTCTTACAGGGGTTCTTGTTTTATCCTGACCATGATTTAGTCACCTTTGGAAGTAGCATTAACCCAGAAAAACTGCTATCATGTTGTGTTATGCCATTCCTAAAGACACTAAACTTGTATTTAAAAAAAATAGAAAAAAAATCTCATTTTTAATGGGAATCTAACTTGTTAACTTGACTTATACACTAAAATTTCCCCTTATGAAGTGTGCCTTAGATTACCATATTTTAGTTGTGTCTGTATGAGTGTATAGCAACAGATGATATTTATAATGATTTTATGTCATAAGTTGCACGTTAAAATAAATGAATGTATAAATTCCTATTTGTGATATTCGACTGTCAGCCCTTCTTTCAAAGTAGATTTGAGTTCAACATTTTAAAATTGAGTAAGGTGTGATTAAGTTACAATTTATTAAATGTCCTTATTTAAAATTTTCCTATAATAGTCTGCTTTAAATAAAACTCTATTGTATATCACGTCTATATCAACTTTCCAATCTATCTTTGAAGAGTTAAAAAATGTAATGAGTGTATATGATATTCAAGGACAATGTATATAGTAGCAGATAAATATCAGGAATATGATGAGAAGAATTATGTGTAGTTATAGTGACCTAACAACCTTTGGTGCTAAGGAGTAAAATGTAGTTAGGGTGGCTATGTAACTTATTCCAGCTAGAAGATTTTTGGAGAAGAAAAGAGGTCACTATATTGATATGAGAGATATTAATAGTAAACACTCTAAAGTTTATTCATTAAATTTATTATCAAAGTAAAACATTTGAACAAATTCCATAGTGTTTTCTTAGCTGGCAGGCAGTAGGAATTTAAATATATAAAAGTTGGGAATGCTTTATTGCATGAGGCTTACCAAATACTTTTCCAGATTTTTTATAATTATTTGTGGAAATAATGAGTAAAATTCAATTGATGTAATTGGAGATATCAACAGTAAGTTTTGATGTTTATGTTTGTCCCAAATTTTCTCATTATGTCTATGATACCTGAATTCACAGGTACTCTTGAATAATCTAGAAGTGGGTTAATCCTCCAAATACTAATATGCATGCCACAAATGATATTTCACTAGACAACTAAAAATACAAATTGTTGCAGTACAGAGTCAGACATAGAATTTATTTAGTAATGCTACGTTTAAAACTGGAAATTCTCTTGAGCACGTTGAGAGAACGTTATGCAATGAGCCTCTCACTTCTCTGAAGCCTGAATATCATTACCTAGCAATATTATGCAGAATACCTTTTGGTCAAGAGTAGAAAAGTCCGTGAGTCCAAATCTCCTTTGAGTACAAAACAGGCTTTCTATATAAAGTAGGAGAAATTATTCTTTTTCTACCAATTATTTTCCTTTTCACACACACACTACTCGAAGCTATGGAAAGGTTCATTTTCCACTCAATGCATTTGCAGGAGGCATTATTAGTGCTCACCAATTCCCTCTTTCTTGAGAATATAAGAGATTGTAGTCTTAGCCCTTTTGCATTTAGGTGAGGCCATGTGGCTGATTCTGGCAAGTGAAATATTAGCAGAAGTGATGTGTGTCATTTTCAGGGTGGTCTACTAGGTGAAAAGCCTATCTTTCTCTTTCTTTCACTGCAGTACTTCCTGAGGAGGAGGCCTCTTATCAGGCTGGAGCCCTGAGTGACTTCATGGTGAACATTCACACTAATCTGTCTTGGACATGGAGTAGGATCAAGAAATAAGCTTTTGTGACTCTTCTCTACAACCTACCATAATATAATAACCAAAGTCAGACTGTCACCCTAACAAAGCTGCTTCTCTTGTCAACTCCACTGAATTTAATAATAGCATACTATGCTCCCACTATAGTTCAGTCTTGATATCTTGGAATTATCACCAGCTGCTCAAATTCCACATTCCACATGCTCAAGTCAGTTACCAAGACACATGTACTTGAAAGCATCTTTGCTATTAGGTATGTTTCTTCTTTCTTCTTCTGTTGCAACCAGTGTAACTCCAGTCTATTGTAAGCCAGAACCTTGCAGTAACCTACTGTAGTTTCCTAATGCATGTTTCTTACTACATCAGTCTTCTACACAGAATTTTTAAAAGACTTATTCTTAACCTAAAATTCATCAAATTCTTTATCCTAACATTCAAGTCCCACTATAAATTAATCCTAATCTTTTCCAGCTTTATTGGACATCATCTCACTTTATACATTTATTCCCTGCTAAATTCTTTGGTTGTTTTAGTTGTTTCTGTTTTATCATCACATGTCCTCTTCTTTTCCAGTCTCTATCTTTTCCTTCCATTCCCTCTAAGCTGAACAACTGTCCCTAGTGCAACCTTTTTAAATCTTTTAATGACAAAGTCAAGATCTATCATCATTCCCTTCTTGAATATGACTTCTCCACCCCCTGAGCTGTCACCACACCTTGAGGATATCTTTTAGATTCAAAAGAAATATGTAATTTGAGTAATTATATTACTGCTACTTTGTGTTAAAAATACCGCATTGCTATGTTGCTTCTGTATTATTTGTGTGACTGACACATTTTTCTCCCACACTGCTATGTTCCTAAGGGCAGAAACTCAGACTTAATTATTCTCCATTCCACAAATTTTCTTTTTATAACTAAGGAGCTTAAGCCTATTTACACATTCTGGAGAAAAGTAAGCTACTTGAGCAGTTTCCATTTTCTGTCCTTGATACTGTACTGGCATAGAGCTTAACAGTTTTTGTCTTCTGAAAATGACTTGACATTTACCACCAGGATCTTTTGGTATGGAATGTAATTTACATATGCCAGAACATATTAATTATGGTTTTCTTGCCTTGAGTTACTAAAACTTTAGGAAATTAATTCCATCATCCAATAAGATAAACATAGTATAACACAATTAAATATTTAAATTCCATAAAATAATAATTGAAATACAATCCTAAATTTCCATACTAAGTGGGATTAAGTAACTTCCAGAGTAAATGGGCTTCCTAGTGGAGTGAGACAGAAGCAAATAGTCATATTTCACAACTCTTTGTAAGAAAAATGCACTTTCATTTGAAACATGATGAAATATGCTAGCATCTTTACCTTTCCCATTACTATTCATTTAGACTATACATTAAATTTATAAACAAATTTCATAAAATTTAAATTTTGGCCTATTGCTTAAGCTTTGAAAACTATTTAATTTTTTATTACTTTTGTCAGAACATAGTGTAGATTGGTCATTTCTATTCATTTGTCTCTTTAACCTATGTTATTTGGAAAATATTTATTGTAGCTGAAATGTCTCTACTTTGAAACATTTATTGAGAGTGCATAATGAGATACCAAAGAACACATACTCATAGTCCTATAGCATTTCCAACAGAAGAAATTAAGACACTAAGCATATTGGAAATCCATCCATGATGCTCAGACATTCCTTGATAATTTAGTCAATCAGGGAGAAATGGATTAAATATTTGTGCTAAGATTTATCAATTTAGAAGCCAAACAGAAACTAAAAATTTACATATTAACAGCCAAGTTTTTGTGGATGAGTCAACACATGAATTAGTAAAATAGCTATATCATTCATTTGCCCTATAATTAATATCCTTAAGGGTATTAACCATCACACTTTATATTGTCGGGGATTAGGGTAACTCTCAATGATTTCTTTAAAAACTAAATCATACCATGGCAGTTACTCCTATTGCAGCTAATATTTTTCTTCTGGGGATTCAGAGACCTTTTCTGCATAGTGGCTCCCATGCTCTAATACCTAAACACTTTCAGTTAGGATTCTATAAGAAGATCCTGTAACAATAAGAATACAAATACATGCTTTACAGATCACAAGGTAGATCACAAGCTTTTTGTGGTGGGTGGGATCAGGTATTCTCTTTAGTTAAAGTAATTGAAATAATCTAAAAAGGCAAATCTAGCATTAAAATTCCATAGTAGAGTTTTGGAAAAAAGCCAATTTATGCTTTTGGACATCTGCAAAAAACTGTTTATGTGATAATTATTTAAATGGGCTTATATACCTAGGAAGGAAAGCTATATAATACAGTATCACCTTTCTATTGCTAAAGAAATCACTGAGTAACAAGTTCCAGTGGAAAAGTCTATGATGTTTCCAAGGTCTCTTGGTCATCTACAAATGGTGAGAAATACACCTATGTTGGGTAAATAATGGCAGATTCTTTAAAAATTGCTGTCAAGTTCTTCACTTTTTCTTAGTTACATACGAAATATCAGTAGCATCCCTGGTGATTTTGGACTTGATATTTCTTCACAATGATAGTGTAGAAATGCTTATGAAGTGAAAAAATAAACTAGAGTATAGACCAGATATCTGAATTTTGATGTATCATTATTGACCTGAAAATGTAGGTCTTTTGTGTAGGTCTCAGAAAAGTTAAGAATACACATTCCTCTTACCACAGGGCATAGGAAGGCCTTGTCTTTCTCAGAGGAGGGAACTACGATTTTGCTTCTGGTCACCATGGAGATGAAGATGGGAGATTTACATTTGTTCCAGAGCAACACTCTTTGGAATGACTAAGGGAGAGCTGATCAATGCATGTCCTCATGTGTACCTTACAATAGGAAAGCTATGCAGACTAGAGTCATTTAGACTCGGGTGACCATGATTAAGTTACTCTGAACCTCTCTTTCTTCATATGTGACATGAAAAGAATAATAATTAATTCAGAGATTGACTATGAAGATGAAAAGTCATTGATGAAAATAGTTAAGATTTTGACTATAAATCTGTCCTACAATAAATGCTGGTTCTCTCCCTTTCCCTTTGGAGAAGAATTCTCCTCTCTCCCTCTAAAGCATTTCTTTGGATCCCTGGGTGGCTCAGTGGTTTAGCGGCTGCCTTCATGCCCAGGGTGTGATCCTGGAGTCCCGGGATGGAGTCCCACATTGGGCTCCCTGCATGGAGCCTGCTTCTCCCTTTGCCTGTGTCTCTGCCTCTCTGTGTGTGTCTATCATGAATAAATAAATAAAATCTTAAAAAAATAAGAAAGCATTTCCCGCAAAAGCAAGCTTTCCACAACAGAATGAATTGGGTTACACTTTGAAAGGGGGAGGTACCTGACCACTGTAGAGCTAAGGATGGTGCTTGAGGAAGCATATAACATGCTTTTACTCTATTCTATATCTGAATATGCATATCTGTTTATCCATCTCAGCTTGTGCTCGGTACAATTTAATTGGTACCCATTAATTGCTAAGCACTCGTTGTCTTCCAATTTAGAGCTCCATTTATGGCATGCTCAGTATGTACCAGATACTCTTTTAAGTTTATTCAGGTGTATTATCTGA